GGGAGTGAGAGCGTCTGCCTCACGGTGACAGATGTGTCACCGGCGGTGACGGCTTGTGAATGGCAAGGGAGCGCTGGGGAGAGCGCTGTCAGCACCCGCGCGTCCTCGCTGCTGGCAGCGAGCGGTGCACAGCCCAAGCAGGAGCAACAGGGCAGCCTGAGGAATGACACGCGGGCATTTGGGGTGCAGTGTGTGCGTGCGTGTGCACCGGGATCAAAGGCCAGAAGAATTTATGTTTGGGCAGGGGGCATAATCCAGGCAGCAGCTTATCTGCACAGGACATTTCCTATTTCCATTTAATTTGTGGCTAAGGAGATTGTTACCTTGTTAAACTGTTATTACCTGAGGCACAAAGCAGCCTTCTGGCTCTGCCAACTGGACTGAGTCACGAGCAGTTGGGATGAAAAGCTAGCATTCAGAAAACAGCCTCAACGTGTGGAAAATTTCCTTCAAACGCTGTGTGTTCTCGTGCCAGGTGACAGTAGGGCCGCAGGCACCTTGCGTGCGGCTGCCGGTTTCCCATGAGCTGCACAGGCTCTGCCTTCGAGCTGTGCATGGAGACTGTCCTGCTAGTGATGGGCTGGGACAGTGGGAGCAGGGACGTGGGACAGGGGGAGACGTGGGGCGGACGAGGCCAATGCAGGCTGCGCTGCAGCCCCTCGCAGCACGTAGCGCGCCGCACATGTCCCCGGGCGCCGTCGTGCGGCACGGCGAGCGCGCCGGCTCTGTGGGGCGAGGGGCAGACGCACCTCAGACGTGTGCAGTCTTCACATCTGTGTGCAGGTGTGCGTGCGCACGTGCCTTCTCACTCGAACGTTTCTAGCAATGCTGAAGAATATAGATTTTATTTTCTGATCTATAATTGTAGGAAAGGGGCCTTGGGGACAGCACTATTCTTATTCTCGTTCTCTCTTGTTCTTCTTGTTGCCTCCCTGTGGAGCTTGTTGCATTGTTTGCAGATGGAACAAAAGAAAGCAGAGGAGGGAGGCTTTCTGCTGCTGTGCAGAAGGTGATATTTGAAACAGGGACTTGGAGCAGAGAGAGGCATTTTCAAGTGCACAGCAGGATCAGGAGGGTTAGAGCCCAAATTTTACCGTGCAAGTATCTCTGCCCTGCAGTAGGCTTAGTTCCAGACAAGGTGATATCTCATGTGCTCAGGCACGAGGATGCAGTTAGCAAGGCTCCCAGGTGCCTGCTGCAGCTTGGGAATTGCAATGTGTTTTCCCTTGCTGGGCTCAAGGCATTCAAGCATGTATCCTCCCTGCAGCAATCCCCAGGCAGGCAGCTCCTCCTGTGGCCCGTCTGCCCCGTGGCATCTGGTCTCCATCCATCTGTCCCCTTACTCACCTCTCCCAGTGCCTGTTGTGAGCGGTGGCACCTCTGTCCCTTCCGATGCTCCCTGGCACTTGCTGGGGTCACAAGCTGTCCCTGTATTTTAATGCCTACCAGGTAGAGCTGCAAGGACCCAGGGAGGATGAGCAGTGCTGCAGCACCAGTGCAGGAAAGTGCTGTTGGACCCCTATTGCTTCCTGGTACCCTGGCTCCCAGGCAGATTAATAAAATACCACCGAGACAGCTCTTTGCAGCTTCAAAGTCCTGGACAAATATTAACACAAGCATCTGCAGCACCCTGCTAGGATGCGACATTGTCCAACAGCAGGAGACAGCAGCAAGTCGCAGCATTTTAAGTGCTCTCCTCCAAAGTGCAGTGACGAGGAGCCAGCCCTCGTTCCTCACCTGTGACATGTTAGAGAGCGACTGGTCCTGGCAGCGCGTCGAGCTTTGATCTGCCGCTGTTGAAGTTGGTTTGAATCCTCTCAGGTCACTGCAGTTCAGGAGATCCCTTTGACTTCCCGCTCCTGGATGCTGGAGGTGGAAGCAGAGACGTGGCCGCGTGTCTGCAGGGCTGCCGTCTCCTGGGCGCCTCTGTGGCTCCGCTGCGTGCGTCGAGGAGAGCCACGAGCCGGTGCCGCGGAGGGGTACACGGAGGGTGCGCAGACACGCGGACCGCGGAGCAGTTCGGCTGTCAGCGCTCCCAGTCCTCCTGGCTGCCTGTAACTTGGCTTAGGAGGTATTTTTAGCCAAGCGGGGAAGGAGGTGCCCTTGGCTCTTCGGTCCTCCTCCCCAGGACATTGCAGAGGTCCGTGTGCTCCCGCTGCACATCCAGCCTGGAAGCCCATTGCAGCCTGGCGCCCAGTTCTGCTGGAGCAGCCCTGCGCTTGGCCCTGGGGAGGGGACATCCTCCCTTCGGAGCCGTCCTCAAATCCAGCGTGGCCCTGGGGCTGCTGGTTCTTGGGAGGACACAGACCCCCTGGGGCACAGGCAGAGAATGCCTTTCCAAAGGAGTGGGTCTTTCCATTTTATTCCATCCTTTTTTGCTGCCTAACAAAAGCTGGAACTACTCTTTTTTTTTTTTTTTTTTTCGCTCTCCAGAAACAGTGTGGTTTCCAGTTGCCTTTTTGGCTCTAGCTTATATTTGCGGGGCATAGTGAGATTTTTCCTAGCTGAACCATTGTACTAAGCAGCGCGCTGGCAGAGGCTGTGTACGTGCAACTTCTTGTATGGGAGCCTTTTGTTTTTCTCCTGCGGTGAGAGCTGGGGCTCTGATTGCACGTTCCCGGGTTTATCAGCACTGGGAAGATGTTGCTTGGGATTTAAGGTTCTCGGAGATATTCTTGTTTGGCATTCACCAAATCCTGAGACATGTGTTGGACACGGGCATTTTATAGACTCCAACAGCACAGCAAGAACTACAACCTGCTTCAGCACAAAAGGGGAGAAGAGGGAAAAACAACCATAACAAAAAGCTTTTCACACAGTGTTTGAAAAGCTTCCTATTAACAGAACACATGGCAGAAAATGTGCTCCTTGCTGTATTCAGGGGGAGAAGTGAAACAAACTGCTTGAGAAGTAGATTCACGAGAAAGATGAGAACCAAGGAAGCTGTCTAAATTAAACAGCCGCTTGTAACATCCAATCCAACAGGCAGTGCCAGCAGGAAGAGGGGAAAGTGGGTTACAAGGTCCGCATCCCAATGAGATGCGGGATTGCGGCTCCAGGTAGGGAGCGCTGGCGGCTTTAAGAGGAGGGTGTGAATGCCCTGTCCCAAGTGCCCGAGGGACCCAGGGGTTCCCCGTGTCTCTGCCAGTCGAGGTGCCCTCGTGAGCTGCTAGAGGCCTGGCCGCTCGTGATGGCCGGCGCAAACTGTGATCGATAAAGGTCACCCTGTACAAAGCTACATAAACTGAGCAAAACAGCGCTCAGTTTATTGCCATGCATGGCGGAGTGGAGCAGGTTACGGCCACCTCCTGGGAGGCACAGATGGGTGTCCCTGTCCCCACGTCAGAGCCAGCACAGTGCTCCAGAACCTTCCCAGCAGCTTGAGTGGACAATCCTTTCCTGAAGGCTGCACAGTGTCCTCTAAATCCATCGGGGCAGATGTTACCCTGGTTGTGTTCACTCTTTAATCAGGCTGCATGTTCCTCTGGTGTTTCCATATGTACTTCTAGATACCTCTACTCCCTTATGCTTGCTTCCTACTCAATAAGCCTAAAGCCTGTGCATCTTGTCCGAGGCAAGTCCCTGATACCAATTTCACCTACCCCTGGAATCTGCTGTGAAGTTCACATCCCATCCACTGAGAAAATGCTGTGAATATTGAATACCCCTTGGTGGCCAGGACGCCCGCAATGGCTTCATGGGTGTCTGGCATAAGGATCTCCCCAAAGCCACTTAGTGCTGTGCTACTTCCAGCCCTGGCTGGAGCACAGAGCCTACCCTTCCAAACCTGGGTGTTCCATCCTGCACTCGTGTGCACGGTGCTGCAGCTGTGCAGCCCCAGGGCTCGGAAATGTCTATGGTGAAGCATTGGCTGTATCCAGAGCATAGGGACCCGTCACTCCTGATCAGCAAGAATGGGATAGGCTCTGGTATCTCCCATCAGTAACTGGCTTTTCCTCTGTGGCTATTTTTATCAGATGCATCCCTCTACACAGGAAAGATACGAGCATGAAAAAGCAGGCATGTGCTTACCCAAGAAGCAGAGAGGCAGATGGAGAGTGGAGTATCATCTTGAACTCTTAACAGTACAAAAATGGGAAGGAAGAAGGGGGTGTGGAAAAAGGGGTCAAGGGATGTGGGAGAGCAGTGGAAGCAGTTACATGCACATCAGTTCGGCTTTGGAGGGATGCTGGTTTTGTCTCCTTCCTGCAGATATTGGGATGATTTGCACAAGCCCCAGTGCTTGGCTCCTCTCTGCAGCTCAGAGCACGTGGGTGGCTGCGGTGGGTGCTGGAGCCGCTGCAGAGGCCGCGTCTCGGTGGGGAGCTTGGGCAGAGAGGGCAGCAGGGACCGCAAGTGCCCGTCACGCGGCCCAGGGCCCCTGACTCGCACCCGGCTGCAGGGGCAGAGTCTCATCCCGTCCCATCGTAGCGGGGACAGGGATGGGGGTGCTCGGTTGTGCAGCCGGGGGGGTGCTTTTGTTTGACAGTGATTTCTGAACACTTCCCTTTACCTAAGGGTGGTGGAGGTGGCCGATTCCTGCGTGGAGGGAGGAGCTGTGCTTGCGGGCAGCCCTGGAGCTGAGGCCAGGGCTGTGCTGGGCTGGATCAGCCAGGGCATCCCCTGGCCTGGAGCTCGTCCTGTTTGGTACCCGAGTGTGCTGCGTCCTGCAGTTCCCTCCTGCCTCAGTGGCTCTCTGCCGTTTTGACTGTGTTCATCTCCCTTGTGCTCGTGGCTGTGTGACGGAAGGCTGTCCTTTGTGCCCAACCCTCCTCTTGGTAATTCATGCCTTGTACTCCTTGCTGTCTTGGGTTATTTAATTCCGTGAGCGCTCTGGATGCGGCGCAGGCAAGGGGCGCCGCACACGATAGGGATGTGCTGTATTGCTTGCGCTTTCTCGTCGCGCTGGTTGCGGTGGTGGCGCAGGCACGTGTGCTTGTGCCACAGCCACGCTTGGGGCCCTGGTGGACCTCCAAGGTGCATGGTCCAGTTGTGCTGAATTTAACAGCAGGAGCTATTGGAACTGCACATGCCATGTAGGGTCAGGCCAGCCCTCGTCCCCAGGGTTGTGCTGTCACGCTCCTAGCCAACGCAGGAGCTGTGCCCTGCAGAAGGGGCTGGGGGAGACGTGGGGCACAGCGAGCTGCACATGGCATCTCCAGCGAGCCTGGAGCACGAGGATCCTGTCCTGCTGGGTCTGGTGTCCCCCTTTTGCGCCAAAACCCACCAAAGCTGCCGTTAGCTGAGGGCTGGCAGGAGCAGCCCTTGGTGCACCGGGCTGGTGGAGGAAAGGGGTGTTGTGTTGAGTTGGCTCCTTCGCTCGCCCACGGCTCCCTCTTGTCTGGTGTCAGGTACGCCATCGACCGCAGCACCGACACGGAGAGGATCTTCGACATCGATGCCAACACGGGAGCTATCGTGACGGGGAAGGTCCTGGACCGGGAGACGGCCGGGTGGCACAACATCACCGTCCTGGCCATGGAGGCAGGTGAGGGAGAGCGTGCGGGAACAGCTGGCCCGAGTGGGACACAGAGGGGACGTGGTGCCCTCACTGCAGGGGTGACCAAGGTGCGAGTGTTCCTTAGCACTGAGGAGAAAAAATTGCAGCAGCACCAAGTCCAGCGTCTCCCTAGACAGCCTATAAATACTGCTTCTAGCTCGAGTGTTAATGAGGGCGCGTGGTCAGGTAGTGTCTCTGAACGCTAATCAGATACCGGTGTTATCTATCTGTGCAGCAGCTTCACGGGCAGTCCCCTTGCCACACACTTGCTGCGTCCTCCCACGAGCTGCTCTGGGGCTTCCTGTGTCCCTTCCTGAGCCTCCCACTATGGCCCTGGGGGCTGTTTCTACCCCATGTGGCTGCGAGACCCTTCAGCTGCTCCTGTGGCAGCTGCTGAATGCGCTAGGTCGGGGAGCGGCTCCGGGCAGCGGTGGCTGTTCTCACCCGGGCACGATGCTCAGCTGCTGGCTCAACGGAGCCGCTTTCCCACTGCAGCTCTGCTCCGCTTTCCAACGTCAGTAAAGACAGGAGCGAACCGGGTCTTGCTGCTTATGGGAGCTTTCGAGTAAACTCCTGGGGAGCGAGAAGGAAGGAAGAGACGGGGGAAGCTTGTTTTTTCGGCAGGTTTCCATGCAGGAGGCTCTGCCGGGCATCGTGCTCCTCCGGAGCGTGGGCGTCCCTGGCCCAGCACGCAGGTGAGAGGAGGCTCACGGGCCCCCGTGAGTGCTTAGCTCCCCGCCCCAC